ACTTACTACTCGTACTTCTTCTTCTTCTTCTCTCTCTCTCTCTCTCTCTCTCTCTCTCTCTCTCTCTCTCTCTCTCGTACAATTTTATTAACTGGCCTATATCGTCGTGATTTGATCACTGATCGACGTGTGACTTTACCGTGTTTACACGATACCTCGCTGTACGATTGATGAATGACTACAATTCACGATGCATAGGATCGTGCTTAACAATAAAAAATAAAATGATTCTAAAGCGGTCCATTCCAAGTATACAATATACATATACAATATACGATATTTTAAGAATATAAATATATTATATTAAGGCACTCCACTACTGGCCGATATATCCGCGTACTTTTATTGGTTGTTTTTTTTTTTTTTTCTTTTTACTTTTATACAAGGACTTACTTCACCTAGTCTTCCTGCTTCTTTCACGTGTTCCGCGTACGCGATACAATGTCCAACGAAGCGAAGAATTAATGAAAGATAATCTCTCAATCCACGTGTAATTCGGTCGCAATAAATTAATTCTCTCGTCTTCCGAGTCGGATCGATGTCAACTACGTATGTACAAGTTTGAACACATTATATTTCGCGATGGATTTCTGCCACGATTCCGTCCTCCTTCCACCGTCCTCGCGCCACTTCTCCTCCTTCCTTTTTTTTTTTTTTCTTTCTTTGCACGTGTTCTTCTTCCTCTTTCTCACACGCCCGTCCCCTTCCCCCTTCCCCCCCCTCTTCGTTTCGACTTCATTTCAGGAAAATCGAATCTGCAAATCGAGGATTCGGCGACACCGGTATTGTGCGCCATGTTCCGGGACCAGCCCATCGTGAACCTTTCGAGAGAACCTTCGTCTCCAAAGGTCACACCCTTCACAACGACATAGGTAGCTCCGCCGGCCTCTTCACCCCTAACGTCAGATCCAACGGCTTGCTCTTCGTCGTGGTCTCCTCTTTCGCGGGGCTGTCACGATCGCACTCCACGTCGTTCGACCTGTTCTCCTCCTCCGCCGATTGGCTCGGTTTCGGGGAAGTCCGTGTCGACCTGACGCTCAGGTCTATCGGCTCGTCCTGTTCGACGGCGAGGCCGCCCGGGCTGGGGCTGACCAGAAGCAGATCACCGCCTCTGGGAGAAAGTTGGGACGCCGCCGGGGTGATCAGACCCGGCGGTGGATATATCAGGCTTAGGCTGGAATGGGGATGGAAGCCTGTCGTCAACGTGACGGTGGCGTTGATCTTCTTGGCCGGGAACTCGCGTTCCGACAGGGTTGGCGACGAGGTGCTCGCCTTGAAGTAGCTCAACGCCGAGTTACTCCTCGACTCGGTGTCCTGGCCGTCGCCACCGTCCACGGACGACGCCCCGCTGTCGCTCGGGGTGTCGGCTGTCCTCTTGTAGGTAGGCAGAAACGGCCGGAACACGTCGGACGGGCTGGTCGGGACGCCGTCCTTCTGCGTGAAGTTCATGGGCAATATTGGGGACATGGAGGGGTGTTGAGGTTGTTGCTGCTTGTAGAACGGTGGCGTTAACGTGTCCCTAGGTGGCGTTCCGGGTGGCTGTTGATTGCCGCCCACTCTCTCCCGCTCTTTCTGCCAGGCCAACAGTCGAAGCTGATTCTGCAACGCGACGTCGTCCGGGTGAGGGGACTTGTTCCCCCTGTCGCGTTCCTGTTTCAACATCGCCACGTGCAACAAGTGGGACTGAAGGGCTAGATCTTCTTGACTAGGTGAGGCGCGGTCCTTTCCGTCTTTTCCGTAAATTCCGCTACCTTGCTGGCCTGGTGTCTGGGGCAGGAATCCCGGAAGGAAACCCGGGCCGAAGGGGGATGCGGCGCCCGACGTCACGTTCTGGTTCCCGTTCGTCTGCTCTTGGAGAAGGCAATGGATCTTGAACCAGTTCGAGCGACGCCCGTACCGCGAGCCAGATTTCGACATCCCGACCATCAGACACTTCCGAAGCCGACACGCCTTGCACGCCGTACGGTTCTTCTTGTTTATCACGCATACTCCCCCGTTCTTGCATTCGGATATACTGCCTAAGTTATTGTAGGTTCTCCCAAAGAAAGACTGCGAACAGAAGAAAGAAAGAAAAGCTTGAAGGCTGGCATTTGCTTTGCTTCGTCTCGTTTCAATCTATTTCAATCTATTCGTTTTTCTTTTTTTTTTTTTTCTCTTTCTTTTTTTCAACATGCCCCGAGATACCAGGACCCTGTGCACCCTGATAGCGTGACTCTACATAAAACCAAGTCGCCAAGATTTCTCCGGCTCGGATTAAACGTCAAGAGTTAATGTTACGCGTCTCACGGGAATTAGCACGACCCCCTCCCTCCTCCCAGGATGGAAGATCGAGGAACGAAGGCATGATCTACGAAAGGGTGGACGGTGGAAGATGGAGCGTTGTACTCGGCTGGTCGTAAAGTTAAACGCCTGTCGGCCGACGATAAAACCGCCTTGAAAGCGGCGCATCGTGAACTAATTTACGACGCGGAGACCTCTCCGTTCTGGGCTGCGCCTCGAGCCGCCTTGCGCTAATCGAATGTCCCCCGCGCGTTTCCCTCTTTTATCGAGCACACGCGAATTCGATGAAATGTAAATATCGTTACATTATTACAGGATAATAATAAATAATTGCGATCCAATTATTATAATATACATCGGTGTTAACATTCTTCTAATCCCCTCTCTCCCTTTTTTGATTCTCGATTAATCCAAGTCCAAATTGAAATTTATTTCTCTCTCTCGCGAGAGACAGAGAGAGAGAGAGAAAGTTTCATATCGAAATCAGGGAGAAACTGGATCCAAGTGGATTCCACGTGTCATCGAGAACCGGAAAACCGGAGCTTCGATGCTCGACCATGTGGGCGTCACCAACCAGGTAACGGTACCAGTTCCAAACGAGATCGACGAATCATCCACCGGGTATCGATCCGTGTGCCCCAAATTTAAATTTCGATAATGCGTTCAAATTATCCGACCGTGTGTCACCAATGAATCACTCGGTGCTACCAATAATCTCGTAGCGTGTATCACCGACTTTCTCTCTCTCTCTCTC